TATATATACATTAAAGCTGCTAAGCTATTTTAAATATTAAAATGGGATATTTTTATTTTATTACTGTCACACACAGCAGATGAGGGCGACTGAAGCAGAGCAGGTGCAACAATTGCAGCACCTAAAGAAAGCCGCTGGAATTTTCAAAGCCTTCTATCACATTTTGACACTGGTATGTAAAGCCAGCAGAAATGCTGTTGGAAGATATAAATAAGTAGCATCGTTACTTTTACTAAACAACATTGTTGGTTTTTACACGATTTTTGGTGACTTAGAAGGTTGCTGGTCAAATTGTACTCCTACTTTACACCAAACAGATACCACTTTGCACCCAAGCATTACTGACTTCTCTTCAGCAGCTGATGTTTTGTATCAGAGCTATTCGTGCACTTACCAGATGCTTTTATRATACATCCATAACTAACTGCATGTACTGCATTAGTCAAGATGCGCTTTATTTCAAAATGTGCATTATTAAAAACCATTACTGTCYTTTTTTCAATGCAAATGGTTTCTAAATGGAACTTGATGAAATTGTCTACAATAGATCATATACTTGTGTCAGGCCCATAGAAGCAGATGCACAATCAAACCTGCTTCATACAGTATTAAACTACAACRTTATTTTAAGAGCATGATGCATAATTCAAACAGATCTGCAAAATGATTGTTCTTTCTGTCTTCAGTTTCAAAAAACTTTAATAGCTGCAGCTTCAAATTCCCAGGCTTTGTCAATGATAATTATAAAAACAATAACCAGAAGGTGGTTAACAATCTGCTAATCTTCATTTCAAAAGATTGCTCCAGAAGATTAAATAATATAAAAGGGAGGTTTGGGTCAACCCATTGCTTGATAGACGTCTGCTCTCGGCAACCCCAATCAGAGCTGAAGGACCACATATTTCTCTTCATTATTAATGACTTTTCAGTTCCCTCCTAAAACTTTTGAAGTTGTCGGTGTGTGCTCATGATGCAGTTTCAACACTTGAAAATGAGGCCAATTATTTCTGCTTAAAAATGAAGACCGAGCAGTTGGAAGGAGAAGAGTGACATTGATCTGTTACACAACACACCCTATATACAGTATGTCACATCGTGTCAAATGATAAAGAGATTTTTTTCTGTACTTTTAAGTGTTCATTTTGCATCAGCATGTTTCAACCTTTATCATTTTTTGTGCAAAAAAGTTTCTAATAAAGATGTAGTTTTTTTTGGTATAAATACAGTTCTTCTAAAATCATTTTCAATATTCAGATGAAGCTTTTTCTTAGTAAATTGAGATCAGTGAGGTGTGGCTGTAATAGCTGTCATGATGAAGGAGGTGCAACTTTAATGAACTGGATGACTAAATATGTGACTAACACCTGTCAACACATCCCCTCTTTATTCTCACTGCAGCTGTTGTTACCAAACACTTGGTGCTGAAAGAGAGACTGGATGAAAGGAACAACAGTAGCTTGGAACAATGGAAACCAAACTCCTGTTGTCTGTGTTGCTTTTATGGATAAGTGAGTATTTCACTAATCTGAACAATGTTTACACAACTTCTGTTTTTGTAAATTCAAAAACTAATATTCTTTGTAATATGTGTTTGTTTTTATAGGTGGGGTGAGTTCTCAAAATCTGGGTGAGTTGAAATGTATTTTCTTTTTTAATTTCTTTATTCTTCTGTTGATTTCTGTAGTACTTGTTTCAGTTATATCAGTATTGCAATAATCTCCAACTACCAAGAGTAAAAATCATAATGTTTTTGTGTAGTTATTTGGTGTTTGTTACCCTATAATAACCTGTGATGCCAGTCCTAACATTAGTTTTGGGTTAGGTGTCTACAATTCTCATTAACATCCAAATTTACTTGAAAAGACAACATTTTATTTCTGCTTTGCACATCAGATCTAAAAATCATTAAAAAATATCAACCAAAGTTTTAGCCAACTTAAGCTCAAAGTAAAAATAAAATAAAAGCTTTTTTTAAAATGCAATGAAAACTCATTTTCATGTTTTCATTTTTATGACAAAATAGCATCCAACCATGCTATAGGTGAAACCCTATAAGAAGTGTATTGTCTTCAAATGTTTTTACAAATAAACAAGTGATTTTTCTTGATTTTTAGGACCTCTCTATGAGATTGTTGGAAATACAAGCTCTCACTCAGATGATGGAAGCTCCCCAGAAATCCCTCTGCTACAACCCTTTGTTTACTTTGGACGTTCTTACACTCAGATATATGTACGCTAACTTCGTGTTTCTCTTTGAGTCATTATACATTCACAGCAATTTTTAACATCAATCAAATGATAAATTAAAAAAAATAAGAATAACATCTGTTTTCCTGTTTTCTTTTCCCCCAGGTGAACCACAACGGACACCTGACCTTTACTGCTCCGTGGTCTAGTTATGTTCCTCAACGATTTCCAATAAATGGAATAAAAGACGTCATCGCTGCGTTCTGGACAGATATAAACAATGTACCTCATGGTGACATCTACTATGCTCAGTTTGACAGTGGCCAGTTTCTCCAACAAGTGACACAAGACATCAATAACTACTTCCCTGAATTTGACTTTAATGCCAAATGGATCTTTTTAGCCACATGGTTTGAGGTTGCCTATTTCGCAAATCTTGAAGCAGTGAGTGGTTTTGTCATATCTGTTGAGTTAAACTAYATGTGTGTTTTTGATCAGATGATATCAGTTCTTTATTTTAATCAAAATTTTATTCCTGATGAAATGAAAAATTGTTTTCAATTCCCCAGCGGACCACATTTCAGGCAGTCCTGACTACTGATGGTAAATACTCATTTGTGTTGCTAAATTATGGGAACCTAACGCCTTCATCAAGAGCCATACAGGTCAGAGCCAGTGTCTTTAAAACTTAAATGAACTAACGCTAATGTTCATGATATGAATGTTTGATCTTTATTTAATATTTTTTTTATCCATGGGATGTATCATTTTAGGCTGGGTATGACACAATCAATTCCACACACTACTTCTCCCTCCCTGGATCCTTCACTAATAATGCAGCTGGCAACAACTCAGTTTTCAGCAATGACAGTAACGTCAACGTACCTGGTCGCTGGGCATTCCGTGTTGATGATGATTCAACAGGTAAGAGCATAACCATTGGGCCTAAAAAAACATTTCTTTACAATAATAAACTATTGAACTTCATATGAACACCAATCTATGAAATTTGGAGAATTTTTATTTTTCTGCAAATAAATGTTTAAATCTAAAATCTGAATTATTCTCTCTCTCGTGTGTGTGTGTGTGTGTGTGTGTGTGTGTGTGTGTGTGTGTGTGTGTGTGTGTGTGTGTGTGTGTGTGTGTG